TTCTTCATAATATTAGTGTGATGGATTAGAATGAAACAAATCAAATTAATTGAATCATTTATTTTAACATTTTAAAGTTAATTTTATATAAGTGCATCACACAGATAATATTAATCAGCATGACGGAAGGTAAATCGCTTCCTTGGCGTAGTTCCAACTAAGTACCTCATTCAGTTCGTCGACAGCCGACTTTGGTCGTGTCTGGAGAACTGGAGTAAGTAAATGAAAAATCCTACAGCTATACGTTCTAGATGAATAAAGTAGCCCAATGAAAGATCGTTCCACAGTTCAGGTAGTTAGTCGTCAGCTTTACACCGTAGTTGCCTGGCTTCGATGTCAGGCCAGACCGTGTAAGATGGTGGTGGACCAAATGGAAGGGGGGTTAGTTTACTGTCCTACATTAATCTATCATCATCCGGGGGTGGGGGCCGGGGTATCAAATGGACTCATTCTGACGGAACCCCACGAAAAAAAAAAAATTAAACACAGAAGCAGATGAATGACGAAAATACAAACGCCTTATAAATAACTGAGCATCTGGGAATAAATTATTAACTTACATCGCAAGAACCGCAGAAGACACGTCCTTGGGATTTCAATGCGCGTATAGGACAGCAAACTCGCGAGAAATTAAATAAGAAACACAGACAATGCCCCGTTTAATACACCGCAGAGTAGCGATAACTGATTTTACTGCAAGAGTGAATATTTCTGAGGATTTTAGTATCGCTACACTCGTCGCCAAGGAACCTTATTTTGAGGAATTACAGTTTTACCGAACTTGGTATTTTAATGTATGCTAGTGGGGTGGGACTAAGTCCCTTGTACTGCGACCACTTCTGGCCTATTGTACCAGCCCCAGATGATACGTGAGGGTGATTGTGGAGCAATTGGTGGAATGAAGATTGGCAGGGGAAACCGAAGTACTCGGAGAAAACCTGCCACAGCGCCACTTTGTCCACTTGTCTAGAAAAACCGACGTGAACGGAGTTCATGCAAGTAGGCCTAGGCCCAATGGGGCTGTAGTGCCAAGGAAAAAAAAATCAGCAGCTCATGCTTGAAACCATATTTGATATCGAGAATTATTTAATAGCATGTAAGAGAAAATAGCTTCTGACTGTGCAGTGTGATGCCGGTAGAGTGATTGGCTTTGTAACAGCGATGAATGAACATCAAAGCTAAAGCGGTATGCCGGGATGTCCTATGCGGAGCAGGACACACCTCGCCGTAATTATGTTCAGGCGGGTGCCGCGTTAGTAACCTAACTAGGCCAAGACCACGACCAGACTCATCCTGTCATTCGCTTTATAACCTCTACACTTGAACCAAATAGGCGCCATACTGTGAACTGTGTCCGCCCCCATTAATTAGTGAGCTGACCGATAATCGGATAAGCAGAAAGAACATGACGGAAGACTGAACGTATATAGTTTAATTAAGAGGCCTTCCGGAACTGCACATGCTCACCGCAACAGAGCAGAAAATGCGAGTTCCGAAGGATTTTAACCCTTTTCATGCTACGCACGAAATATCTTACTCGGAAGCACTGGCCCATCTTGTCGGGTTTTATTTTATGTCTGAGATCAGTGAAAGAAAATATTCCCGTCATATTTCAACAGTTATACGTTCTTTATAACCCTATATTTCTCTAGAAGACGGGTTATACTTGTCGCGTGTTATCTGGCTATATTTGTATGTTATGTCATTGTCCCTCCGTAATAGTTTTGGTATACTTATGCGTGTGGCAGTTCTGTTTTCGAAACTGAGCATTCTGAAGGCTACAGATGTAGCTTTATTCTTTCCTTTAACGGAGAAATTAAGGAATATATGAATGCTTAGAAGGTTTCAAGGAAAGAGAGATGAAAGTATGAAAGAAATAGCTCTGAGTTAAATTTCTTCGTTGTCACTAGTAGTTAAATATTTTCAGATTTTCAGCTGTAGAAATCATATGTTATCTTGAAAGTTTCGACTCAGAATCACGATAGCTAGTCAGTAAGGAAAAGAGATTCTCTCCTCGTCACCGTGTCCATGATCAAATTTTGAAATCCGTCAGCCTCCTATACGAGAAGTGTTTGCGGTAAAGAGGCCCAAGCGTGAAGCTGACTACTCATTATCACATGTATTGCAGAAGTAAAGAACATTTGAATCTCCATATCCGCTGTAAGCATGCTTATGCGCCATAGCTCAAGCGGTTAGTCGCTGGCTTCCCACCGCGGCGGCTCGGGTTCAATCCAGGGTCTGGGCAAGTGGGATTTGTGGTGGACAAAGTGGCGCTGGGGAGGTTTTCTCCGAGTACTTCGGTTTACCCTGCCAATCTTCATTCCACCAAATTCTCCATAATCATAATAATCCGGGGCAGGCTACGATAGGCCAATCAGTGGCCGCAGTGCCGAGGGAACCCAGTTGGACTCCACCCCCCCACTAAGCGAATTAAAAAAAAAACCAAAGTTTCAGATTACAAGAGGGTGGTGTGCGAAGAAGAGAAAACAGTAAGCTCATTACATGGTTGCAGCGCCAGATAATAGCCTTAGTTCTACTCTCAAAACTAAAAGTGAAATTGTAACTAAGTCCAGCAATCCAAGGTCATCTTCGAGTAACTTTTCACATGGGCTGTAAAACAGGCTGACCCGCAGAGCAGTATTGCTCGACAGTAATAAGAGGTGGACTGGATGCTTCATATTGCTTCCAGTTAATGTATGCATTGGTATGAAAAAGTCGCAGGGCTTGCGATGACCCAATATCCCGTCCAAGGCATCATATCTAATAATTATATATCATGTAAGATTTGAGGTTCTCATGGCGGTGACTATGAAGACTGCAGTCTTCTGGGATGTGCAGGCTGCAACCATTTGCTCACGTTGGTTCCTCGTTCGCGGATTCTTCTGCTTTGAAGATGGAGGCGATACGTTCCTCCGAACGTTGGTTCACATAAGATCTACATGGCGCCATATCCCAGAAGATGGCATTCTTAACAGTCTATATATCAAATTCCGAAACACAAATAACGGGAGGTCTTCAACAGCTTTGGTCCATCGTGCCATATAAGAAAGAGGCAAAGTTGTCCCCGTGCTTAATTAATCATCCCGCCAAGAAGATGCATGGGGAATGAAGATGTAGTTCCACACATTATAAAATTCGGCAGTAAAGGTCGTGGTTGGTGGGCTTTACTTGCCATCTGCTTTATCACTGGGGAAAGAGTCCTACTTTCCCATTGGATAGGAGGTTTCTTAAGGCGCGTCCACATTACTCGTGCTCGTGTGACTCGTTATGCTCGCGAGTAACGTGGACGATATGACAAGTTACGAGACAAGCAAATTTAAAATTTTTAATTTAAAAACTATAGCCAATAAATTAAAATACGACTACAGCCTATACACACTACACGTAAATATACGGATCCTCACGTGCCGAAGCCTGGCGAGCAACTGAAGTAGTGTGGACGAAAATTTACGAGCACAAGTAAAAGCCAGACGAGTCTCCCGACGAGCACGAGCACGAGCGCGAGCACGAGCACGGATAATGTGGACGCGCCTTTAGACGAGCTTGCGAAGAGAAAAATAACTGAACCTATCAAGAATCGAACCAGTTTGTACAGCCAGTAGCCTAAGCACGAAAGCAGCTGTGTGGACTAAATACGCTTCATAATAATTACTATCCAGTTAATATTGTTAGAATGCTTAACTCAAAGAGAATGTGTGCGTATACCGTTGTCTCCTAGAATTCAACAGGTAGCAGCGCAGTGTGCGTACATTTCTCGGTGTGTATTTAGATAAAAAGACAGTGCACATAATATTCGGGCAAATACACGTACACTAAACATGCCCATCAGCGGTGCGTGTTTTGACAGGATCTAGATTAGTGAAACTGGATTATCAGTGCGTCCCCAATTAGTATAACTTCATCAGTTCATTTTGTTGTTCTATTGCGTCTGGCCGGAGTGTGGGTGAAGGAGACACTTGTTTTCGAGGGCTATGAAATACAATATTTGGGTTGTTTCGGGTTTTATAACGACGCCGTATCAAGCGTAGGAACTGTAACGAGGGGGGAGGGAGCGTGCGGTGGCAGTGTAGTGTAACGGAACTAGTAGTGACAGGATTTGTTCCCGTTAGTACGGCTCAGGTGAGGGCAGCAGACGGACGCAGCGAGAGCAGTGCTACGTGGAGGAACCATGGCTTACGCGGCGTGACCAGCACCCTCCCGGCGATTCGAGGTACTCTGCAACGCGTGTTCACATGGTTATAATGGTTGTTGCTTAGCAACGTGCTTTCACACTGTTCCAGTAGTAGCTGCTGTTCAGTACTGACTGTGTAGTGATGTTGCACAGCAACACGTGTGAACACTGTTGTAAAAATGACACTTTTAGTGATGTGTGTTTGTAACGGCTGTTGCTTAACAAAGTACTTTCACATTGTCACAGGATCGGTATCGCGTAGGAACGTGTTGTTGCATCTAGGATCCTATTCAAAAGTTGTGTGAATAAGAGTAAATGCAGTGCGTTTCGTCAGAAATTCGTGTCTTATTTACATTGATCTTGCGCTTCTGACACAAATCGAATGCTGGTTATGGAAATTTTAGTTTTAAGTTTAACTTAAACATGTTTCTGGACGTGTTCGCGTTGTTAGTGACAGCCCTACCTCAAAATGTTAACAAGAACCGGTAAAATGTACTATAATTAACAGCCAATAACGTCAACAACAGGCAACTTGAAACAGGATCTACTATTCCTTCCCTCTCAAAACCAGTAAAGAAATACTTTGATTTTTCGGAAATCGCATGAAAAACGCTCTGGACTTGACATTAAAATAAAACAGTGACGTCTGTAATGCGTTTTGCGTCAGTGAATGACTGTTTGACCAGATACGGGTATGGAGAAGTGAATATTATTAGAATTTTGTTTTCAGAGTCCTTACCAAAGTAACAGAAATATTAAATATTAAAAAATATTAAAATATTTTACGTTGTTCCCATTAAGGATCATTTAATATTACGACCAAAATAAATTGTTTATATAGACGACAGTTTAACGCTTACAGTCCGATTTTAATTAAAGAATTTCATTTTAGGCACAGGTCTGCATTCTGGATAATGTGAAATTTCTGTTGTTGGAAAGTCACGATTCTAACTGTTGAGAGATGGCTGAACATGATTCTGTTCTCGGTTTTTACAAAAAACGAACAAATCGGGATAAGAAGCTCAGTGTTTCGAAGAACGATATCTCGTGCGTAGCATGAACTGTTAAATGTACGGTACATATTGTGTACAAGAAGAAAATATTTCAGGAAGAAGCTCTCTCTAATGAGATTAATTAATAGTATAGGAGATATAACGCTTTCATTCGTATATCGCGTTATTTTGAAAATACTACGAAACACAATTGGACATTAAGCGAAGTGCCTGTGTACATCATGCTGTGAACTACACCAACCTTGCTGAAGTAAACATCCTTCACATCAAAGTTGCTAGATGTACTCTAAATGCTCCTGGGCTGCTGCTGCTGCTGAGCGAGTTACCGTTTCATCATAATCTGTTTCCCAAGTAGCACCTGGCATCAGTGTTCCAGTCAGCAGGTGCTGAGTCTCAGAAGAACACAGCGAGGGAAACGTGTTTGATGAAAATGATCAAGAGAGTAAAGGTATATTACAATGAAATATACACATTTTTCAAATGCGTTATTTGAATGATTTTCATGTTAATTTATTGTACAGACAAATGTTTTGCTGTAAAGCGAACCGCGCTGCAGATATGTATTATACGATATGCTATGAGAAATTATTTGTCCTCGTATTTAATCAGATATTCGGCATGTTAAGAAATGAGTCTGATGATACAGATTTTCAGATCATAGTATAGCCCAATATCTGGCATAACTTGCCAGTTGTCCCTGTGTTCAACGAATTAAGCACTATGCCATGAAGGCGTATGGGGGCGTGGATATAGTTCCACGTTTTCTTGACCTCGGCACTAGCTGGAGGTGAGTGGTCAGCTGTACACCCCGGCCGCTTTAACCCTGGGGAAAGAGCACCCGGTACGCATTGGATAGGATGTTGGGTGAACACCAAAGCCGGTCTGAACGATCTACAGAAAAGAAAATTCTTGACCCTACCGGGATTCAAACTCCGACCCCTTATTCATCCAGCCCGCTGCCAGCCGCTATACCGACTACACTACCCCGGCTCCTCAATTCTCACTATAACATTTAATAAATATCCATTTATAGGACTAAACATCATTGTGCTTGGTCTTTAGTATTTAGGTGTTCTTGAGTTTGAATACTGCCCCAAAGACCGACTATTGTAACAAAGATTTCTTAGTATTCCTCAGTTCCCTCAGCAAATGCTGCGATAATGCCTGCAATTACTCGTCGTCCGGCTAAACTACTTCCTTTCGAATACGAATCATCCCGTCATTCAAAACTGCATAATCTATGAGGCTATAAATGTATCACTGAATAAAGGAAACTCAGTCAACCGTTTGTGGGGATGCCAACTGAGATGTAATGAACGCAGGTATATTGCCAACGTCACTTTACTCTTGCCTCCGAAGAGTTTGCAGTCTTCAGCAACAAAAACAAATCAATGTAACCAGGCGGACAGTGTAATACGCAGTTCACAGTGGTCACAGAATGAGGACGGACGGCTCCAACGCTAGTTGCATGAAGGACACGAACACTGCTTTGGTTTCCTGGGAAACGTCTCCGCTGTGAAGCTACTGGAAATTCTTATGACAATGCACATTCGAAACTAACACGTCCGCCAGGGGTCGCACGCCTTCTTTCTACAATATACATGATTATGCTTGACTACGAGCACTTTCCATCTTTGGCTCAATCTTGCACTGGGGTGTCTAACCGAATGCTCTCCGTTGAATACATGTAGATTACAATCTCTCCCTCACAAGACGCTTAAACTCAAGTTCTTCTCATAAACGGATCATAGCTCAGAAAATCAGTAGATTTCTTGGGGGAAGATGGCCGAATTCTGCACACTTCATGAAGGGTTGATTTTTTCAGTTATACATAAGAGTGACAGTGTTTTAAACTTAAGTGAGCATTCTTCATTTGCTCCCGTATCATATTCAAATACTTATATTGTCATGTATTGAAAACGTCTAAGATAAAAAGCAAATTATTGAAGCAAATGTTTGAGCAGAATTACTCAATTATTGTGGCAATAATACGCACGTTGAGATGTAATTCTGTGTACGGCAAAGAAATTAATATTATTTCACGAGCCACTTATCAAATGCAAATTAACACATAGAAAAATCAATACCGAACAAGTGCATACAGTCGAGCTACTGAACTGGAACTGAATAATTCCAGCAACAAGAATGAAATTTTATTCTGAAGTAAGGGAGGACTGCTGAGAACAAACATTCGATATCTCATGGTACACCGTGCAATATAAATGCACATCACGGCCCACTACTATGTTTCCTTCTTTGTAAAAATCACAAATATAACCCTTAGGAGAATCGGAACCCTTGCACTCCGAATGTGCCCATAATAAGCACATTATGCACAGGCAACAAAACTCGGGATTTCTTCCGAATTCTCCACAGATTACGGATATGTCCTTTGTCAATGAAGGATCCTCAGCTATTTGAAACGTCAGCATCATAAACTGTATTTTCATCAATGTCTGTAGGACAGTGACATTAACTTTCTCTTCTACATAATCTCTCCCTTTTCTCTTCACTTCTGTCGTCATTGAGAATCTTCACGATTGCTTTATTGTTGCTACAAGCAGAAAGTCGGAGTGCTGCTCTAGAGGATTGGTTGCATGTAGATGTTCTGGACTAGGTGAAATATCAGCCCTAGACGCCGCTGGTGGCGGCGCTTCTAGTAGTTAGGCTTATCATGAAGCTCTTCTCTTGAAGTTAGGACTTCTCCTGCTGACGTTTCTCCGTTCTTCATTTTGTACAAACTACGTCACTGATTTGCTGAGAGGTTCGAGAACACGTTCGATTAAATCATATAAACTGAAAGACCAAATATCTGCGGCTTTGGAATCTGAGATGGCTTTCTCCATTGTAGCTGTTTTGGAACTCATGCTAGGTGGGTCCCTTGTCATCACGGCATGGCGCGTCCTCAGGTTGCGGATTGAGGACACGGCCTCGAGATATGGAGGGTAGATGCAAATGTATTGAATAAGCAGTCGCGGACAGCCGACACGGGATGGTCCTCCAGCTAGGGGGTTGGGCGTGGGGCTTAACTCCACACCGCAAAAAATAAGCTTGTTATAAAATATCACAAAGAGCTTCGAATCTGGTTGCATAGGGACCAGCGGAGGGCTCTTGTGAACACGGTAATGAACCTTTGGGCTCCATAAAATGCTGGGAAGTTCTTGAGTAGTGGCATAATTTGCGGCTTCTCCAGAAAGGCTCAGCTCCATGAGTGACATGAGTGAGCTGTTTTGAGACAGGCTCTATTAAACGGTTCAGCCGGTTCAAAATTACAAATATTTTTCCGCGTCCATGGCCTTTTACATAGCACGTCGCATTGTCTATTAAATGCTATCTTAGGAGTCCCATAGAAATTTGGGCCCAGAGGATGCAGTTAACGTCAAGTGTGAAGAGGAGTAATAGCATAATTATGCAATTGTCTCTGCAATAATAACATAAGTGAAGAGCACTGTGGCTGGCGTGGTTGGTCAGTACTAAAAATGCCCAAGCTCATCGTTAGAAGGTTAAGCAAATTCTCTGAAATGAAGGAACTATTAGAAGAACAATTCTTCACTAATCCATCCTTTTTATAGCAAGAATTAAGCGATCCAAACGGGTCATCTTACGCAGCGTTGATGGATTTTAGCGATATATTAACACTAAAGGCACATGATTCCCATCGCCGTGTTATTCTTTAAACGTTCCCAAGACATTTCAGCTCCTAATAGCTTTTTTCCTCTGGGCCCTAAAATGAGCAGGGTATTTGGTAGGTAGAAATAGCCTGGTTCTGTTCTTATTGGTGCCTTCGCAGTCCCTCGGACAGAACGTATGATTCTTTCTAAGAAACTGGACCAACCAGTTTTTGCCAACCAGTTTCGCTGCCGAATTAAAATTTTGCCTCATGTTACTGCCTTCCGCTATACTACACGCGATGCGGCAATTCAATATACTTGTATGTATAAGAACAAAAATAAATTTTCAAGCCTCAAACTGTGCTCAGCTAATACCTACCCTTGGTCTGGATTAAATGGTCTTGTAAACCAACGGCGAGCAGTACTTACAAAGTCGGTTTTCATGCGGAGCAAAACTGTAGACTCCGCTCTTCTATGGGCCATTTCTACTTCTCGAACTGACCATCCATATAGATAATAAACTGTATTTACCACAGAAAAATGCTACAACAAACGGATGAAACGTATTATTTCACTCTGCTTCTCAAATACTAAACTAGTATGGGGCAAGTTTATAAAGTTTTCGTTTCTGCTGTAGGCCACTAAGCGGTGCCCTTATTAAGAAATCTTTATCTGCTGTACTTCTTAAGAAAACTGTGTACAATTACCCGCTAAGCAGAATTCGTCCAACTTTCCCAAACGTGACGCAAATAAATCGCTCATATACAATTTTTATTTAAAATATTTTCGACGTGTTTGTTTTTAATTTAGCACAAGGAGCATAGATTTATACATCTGTTCTAGTGTATCTAATCTGCAGTGCGAATAACTTTACAACTACAGATTTGCATGAACGACAAATGAGCATCAAGAATAATAAGTAATTCAAAATCGCACAGAAAATATTTGAATTCCTGACAGTATATCATCCGGATAATATTCAGTGGCGTGGCTTTCAACCGAATTCCGTAAAAATTCCCTACTTCAGTCAGACATGTCCTACGTATATGTCCTATAAGGCAGTGATCCTCAGCTTTCTCACCGGTCATTTTGTCAAAACCTGTAGCACCACCATGGTTTTCTCTTGGTGTACATGATTATTAGTGAATCATAAATTATAAAACATATTGAGGGAAGCGTTGTGTCCCAGTCGGGGACAATATCCTGTCATTTGCCTGGAGGGGGTTAGAAAAACCACGAAATACCTCGGTCAGGATAGCCAATCCCTGCCCCGAATTAATGATGGGCGTTGCTTCTATAAAGTACTGAATCAATCAGCAAGCTTTCTAATATTTAAGAGCCTAAACGTCATACAACGCCGGTCACGGTAGCCGAGCGGTCTAAGGGATGCACTGTCTTCGCTCGCTCGGAAGCCGAGATCGTGGGTTCGAATCCCACTCAGGGCATGGATGTTTGTGTGCGTTTTTCTGTGTTTGTCTACAGGTAGAGGCCTTGCGACGAGCTGATCACCCGCCCAAGGAGTCCTACCGAACGTGTAAGATCTAGAAAAACCGAAGTGAACGGAGAAGTTCATGGAGGTAGGCCTAGGCCCACTGGGGCTGTAGTGCCAAGGGGGAAAAAAAAAGTCATACACTGGAAGCTAATTCTCTTTCATGCTTGTTCATTTCCTCCCACCATTATTACCGACATGGTAACTATTCAAACACATGAGACGAGGGACACAGAAATTGAAGAAATTTCGTGTGGTGGTAGGGTTTCGAAATGTATATTTTTGTAAATCTAATTTCGTTGGCAAAAAAATTCATGACAATTGTAGCTAGAGAAATTGTAAACTGTT